AATAAAATAAAAATTAAGAATTATTAAAGGTTAACACTCATAAATTAATATATAAGTAAATAAATAAATGCTTAGCCTAGAGTATTATTATATTTGTAAAGTACGATTGATTTCGAATTAAAAATTCATCATCGGGTTATATACACAGTCAATAAAATCGCGATTTGAGTCGATTTTCATCGTACATATCAACGGTATATTGAATAATATAATTTTACTAACTTAATCTAGTACGTACTTTATATTATGCAGCATTTATTATGATTGAATATCTTGTTTATTGTTGCGTAATACAGGTTATTTAGTGTTTACATTCTAAATTCTGCATCGAGTAATATAAACGGAAGCATTAAAGTCTCTCTGAGTTCAATAGACACTGTTTGCAGTGGAAACGCCTTACATATCGATTATAATAATATTTAGATTATTATATAATTATCCAAGACACACGAGGTCATTGTTTTCGAAAGCTCTTTCATTAAGTAAATTATTTCCATACATCTAACACTTTCTCTAGTGGGTAGGTTCTATCTTATATTCTGTCTCTATCCAGTCTAAATGAGTGCTCATGTGATATGTGTTTATTCCTATCTTGAATCTGGCTTAGTCCTTAAAAATTGAAGATATTATTTTTCACTTTATGATAAAAATTTAATTTTTAATTATTAAAAGTTCAGTTAGGTTTGGTAATCTATAATCGATATATCAGCATTAAACTTTTAATAAAGTTATCAAGAATAATTAGCATTTGGCTATAGAAGTCATAGATATACATGTATATTTATTTAAAATAAAAAAATTAATCAGAATAGAGAATGTCATTATTCCTTTCAAAAAATTAACACTGAATGGAAAATATATAATGCTTTAAAATATGTATTTTTTATAGTTTTATTAAATTTAAAAAATATATTATTTTGTTTAAAATTATAATATGAATATTAAATTTCATAACTAAATACATAGTTTGTTCTAAACAATCGTGAATAAACATGAGTGTGTTTATGTTGATTTGACAAAGGGCTGAGCTGCTAAGCGATAGTATTTATCTTATGTGGTTTCTCTAATAACCAAATAATTAAAAAATAATTAATTAATAACTTATCAAGCCAAACTTATGATCCACTTAGAATTGATGTAATTTTATATATCATCAGTATTCGTATTTTCAACCGATGTTTTTACTGCTTACATTTTGTTTGTATGCTTCCATTGATGGATATATCAACTATAATTCACGAGTATATTAGCATTATAAACATATTAAATTGATGCAGATTTTGATGTATATAGAGATTACTTAAATTATTAGCAGTGTTAGATTTATATTTGTTAGCATTGGTGATAAAGAACTAAATAGGTATCTAAAATATATATAGTAGAGTTTATAGATTTATATTGCAACTCTAGAATATGACTAGAAATGTAGTATAATTAAGTATATTTAAATTGAAACTACTATTTACGTAGATTAAAAATCATATACGTGTTTTTTGTTAATATATTTAAAATGTTAGTCAGAGAGAAGCCTAGGCTATTGAGAAATATTGAGATTCCGTTGCGTATTATAATATGTATTGGAACGTAACAGACATTATTTTACCATGGTTATTCAAACAAACCGATTTTTATGTAATATTTTATTTTTAAATATTATAATAATAATAATAATAAGACTCATAATTACTGAAACGACCGACGGATCTGGAGTGCGTGGTTTTGGCATGCGCAGTTAAATATGTATGTTACACTAATAAACAATTGTGTGAGATATAGGGGTCGCGTTATCGAACTATAACTACCGTTTTTCCTATTTGTGGAATTCAGCCGTCAAGACCAGCCCTCAAAATAAATTTTCTGCCAAATTTTTCTTTCTATCTCATTTTTTCCATTGTACATTTATTTCTGGTTTTAGTAGTTATTTTAGACGTATTCTTTTATCCGGTAATCTCAACAAGTGAGGACTACCTAAGGATATTTTTCCGATAAATTCCATTTATTCCTTATTTTTTTTAACAACGAGTTTTTTCTCTAATCATGCCCGGATAAATAGTCTTTCTATTATTTTGTTTGATTATGTTCGATATAGGTTTTTATTTTATCATAGTGACATTAGATCCACCCCATAGACTTTAAAAAATCGATACTCAGCAAATAACCTAATTTCTAACTCATTTCTTAATTTTTTAACCATCATCCTAGAAAGTAAGAATACTCCAACCAATAAAGATTCGGAAGTGGTTCTACAATAATTTAATTGGGCGATGAGTACACGGCTTTCCCGAAAACAGGATCGAACAATAATTAGTGATGAGCACTATCGAATAGTATTCGATAGTAAGCATAAACTATCGAATATTATAGTCGAATATTATTTTGTATGACCGAATAGTTTTTCCATGAAAAACCATTCGAATATTTCGAATAAAAAATCAAAACGTTAACGCTTTTTGTTAATTTTTATTCTTATCAGTAATCCGTTATCACATACGTGATTAGGTATCTCAAAATAAAATAAACATTATTTAAGCTATAGAGTAACATGTATTACTCTATGATTTAAGTTAAGCTAATTTAAAATTTTACTGAATAATTCAGAAGTTGTAAACTATCGATTAATTCGGAACAATCGAATATTTTGAAAAACTATCGAATAGTTCGATAGTGCCCATCACTAACAATAACACTAGGTATATTAATGATATTATAACCCGTCTAGATTGGTACTCAATAATATTTATATAATTCTGAGATTAGTTATGATTTCATTTATACTGAAACATAATTTTTTTACTCTTAAAAATAACTTAGTGTTGAATGTATTTTATAACTAAGAAAAAAAAAATAAGGATCATCGATTTACATAATTACATTTAATAACAACAAAATTACGTGTGATTAGTGTCCTGCACAGCAATCACTACAGTATTATTGTCATCTGGAATATGATTTGGAATTATTGTATAAAAGCACCAATTTATTGTAATGTTTGTTGATACATTTCACAGTTGGTTTAAAGAAATAAGCTTTTCCATCGGACGACTAGCATGGGGAAGGTGATAATTTATTTATATCCGGATTCTTATTAAAAATCCATAACAAAGCTTAATGTTAACAATATTTTTACCTAATATTTCTAAATATACAAATATTTTCATGTTTATATATATATACAATTATTGTACGTAAATACTCGATGTATGGAATAGAATAATTGTTATGTATTATGATTATCTTTTATATAAGGTTTTTTTAAAAATTCTGATTCATGAAACGTCGTTTATCACTTTTACTCTGACTCATTCTTGGTATTTTTTCTTGTCGGTTCATTTCGTTCTCACCATATTATCTAATCAAAAATAAGTGTAATTGTTGTCGACGAAGAAAGACACGCACTTAAAATACTAATTATATTATTAAAATATCTATATATTATCTATATTTAAGAAACTTGGCTATTGGGTTAACATTAAATTACTGACAACATTTACTTAACTAAACAGTCGTTATAATAGTTTTTTTGTAGCGTTAATTGGACATGTTTTACTGTCACCACAAACTTTCAAACAATACTTTTCAATTGTATTTGAATGAACCTTAGTTACCTTAATCATCTTAGTCTTTAAAATTGATATTGTTTAGGTGGTTAAATGTAGATATTTTGTTTTGAGTTGCAGATTTTCAAGGTTTTCTATTGTATTTGTATCAAATTCATCATTAAGCTATTATTAAACTATGTATTAATCAATACATTTTTATTAAAAGCATATTTATTTTTATATAATAAAACTAATCGTATTAGGCATAAGATATGTTTAAATCTAGTCATTAATTTTATCACAAATATGTATATATATATATAGGTTGTACCAAGTAACCCAATAAACCCTTATAAGTTAAGCATCTTTCCGGACTCATAACTCAATAAATTTTGACTGTAACTATTATAATTTAAACTTGATGTTAAAATTATTTATAATATGATAAGAAGATAATAATACATAATACACTAGTACATCATTGAAAATTAAAATAGAATCTATTAACAAGATGGTTAGTTTCATCAAAATACCATTGCATCTATTATTAGTATTTTAATTTTTGTGTATATTACATACATAAGAGTATAATAATTTGTACACACATTTTTAAACTTTTTTTCTTTATTTTATTAATCCGAAAGTTTGGTATTAAGCTAGAATGAATTAAAATGTTAAATATTTAATCATACTGAGGTCCAAAATATTAAGTATTTTTGAATTTTTCAAATTCGGTTATTTTCATGATTGATATTCAACCGGATCATAATTCTAATATCCTAATTGAGGTATTCGAAGTCGAACAAGTATTTATTATTATAATATTACCTATTGATAGAATATAGTTGCAAGTGCTTACTTGGTCCTTTCTAGTCCACTTCTTAATTATATTTTAAATTTATTCCACGACAATATTGTTTCATAATTGTGAATATATTTCTAAATATTAATGTATTTCTGAATGATATTTAATAACTATAATTCTAGTTATTGGGTTGTTATCGGTTGAATTATTTTTAAACGAAGAATTGAGAACGTCTAGCATGTGAAATCATCTTAAATAATTACCAAGTTTTTAAGATTTTATGTTTAGAAAATCAATATATGTATAGAAAGTAAAATATATTTATTTTATTTTAAATTAAGTCTTTAACTTTGTAGTTTAACTGATATTGTTTTTTTACAATTAATAATTGATGGCATTGTTTTCAATGCCACTTTTTCTAGATAATGAATTTAATCTGAATTCGCGATGTAGGTATATTTATATTATTATTTTTATTGGTCAAGGTGAACACCAACTTTCACTAATTCAACCACGTAGCATTGCCGTTTGTTAATCTTGTTCAGTATCATTGGTGTCGGTGTAGTGTTAATATCATACAAATAAGAAAGAATTATGTAGTGATTTTGTGATAACTTAAATCATTAATTTTTTCTTTATTATGTTGTATTGTGTAGACAGTAGAAATAACAGTCGCGGTATGAGATCCAAGTCGTTACAAGATTTACCAGAAGCCAGTACTAGTACAGCTGTGCCAACACGTAAAAGACGTATGCCGAGATTTTCATTGCGTCGATTGTTGTATTCGAATACCTTTTTGGCGAGACACTTGGGAAGTTCGCAAAATGGTAAACGTCGAACTATTATAACTGGTATGTTTAATCAATATTATGTTTAGCTTATTAAAATTTGTTCTTTTAAATAAGTTACCTAGTAAAATAAGTGTTTATCATTTATAAACTGTATAGAGTATAGGTTAGGTTAAAATTGCTCTAAATAATAACTTTTTTTTGATTAAAATTTTGAAATATACTAATTTTAATCGTATCAGTCTTAAATTATTATTTTTAGTTATAATGTACCATTAAAATATAGGAATTTAATAGTTATTTATTTTTTACTTACAAATTCGATGTTTAACTTCTTTTAAACTATCGTTTTTTTTTTGTAAATTCTCAACATTGCGTCACACACAAGTGAAAATTTTTAATTTCTATAACTGTACACTTTAATAATTTAAAATAGAATGGGAATTATGCAACAAATTTATAGTGTTCTTAAACAGCTCGTTCTTATAAACTGGTTATTTTTTCTTTCTTTTTTTCTATTAAAGTTGTTGCATGTTAACTAATTTCAATATTAGCATAGTTTTATCTCATTTAATTATCTAGCTGCTTAATTATTTAAGTGTTTCAATAACCTTTAAAGTAATTTGATCTTTTCGGAGTTTGGACTAAATACGTTTTATTTTTGGTATTATGCAAACAATTTAAACAAAAATCGATAAATTGCATTTTTTAAAAATACTTCTGTGGTATAAAATCATTATTTATAGTAATATATTATATATATTTTATATTTATATTTTTGATTGATAAAATCATGACTAGTCACGAATAAAAAAGATATTTAAATATTGAAGAAAAAAATAGTTTTTTTATTAATAAAACCTTTAAAAAAGTTAACTTAATTGATTTAAAAAAAAAATAATTAATCAACACCCTTTTTAATTAATCCTAAGAAATTCAGAAGGTTTGGCAAAGTTGACTTTATTTATTTAAGTGTAATGGCCTATTATTATTAAAAGTAATTTTTAGTATGAAATTTGTTAAACAATTTTTTAAATAAAATAAATACTCTATTTTATGTTTTAACTCTAAAATTTTAGTATCAAGTATGTAAATTGCATTAACTGTGATAAATTAATTAAGTAAAAATAAATTAAAATTATACTAATATGATATTTTATATCGATCGTCCATGAGAATATTTTGTTTTTTAGTACACTGATATATTATTGTTTTGTACTGTTACAAATATTACGATTTAGACGAAGGATAACACTCGATGGCACTGTTTTTCTGATTTTATCTTAATATTTATTTATTTCCTAATATCTTGTTTATTTTTATAGTGTAAATACATTTTTGTAGGTACTATATAGACAGATATGTTCATCATTATTCTTATGTTCTATTGTATTCATCATCAGGTATATACAAATTCAATATTATATATGTGTATTATAATATTGATATTTTATATGTCTGATGATGAATTTTTAATTAGAAACCTGTCGTACATTACAAATTTTATAATACTCCAGACTAAGCATTTATTTTTTTCTATGTATAAATTATTTATTTATATGTTAATGTATGAGTGTTAATTAAGCTGGTGTGTTTGAGCCGGATGTGGAGGACTGAACTTTGTGTAGGTTAAGCCATTCTTATAGAATTATGAAAGATTGTAAGAACTAACCTAAACTGTTATTGAGGGCAATAATTTTATTTCCTAATATTTCTATATATAAGCGCTGAAGCGAAAATGTCAATGTGTAATGTGTATTGCTTTTTTGGTTAGCAAAACGAAAAATCATACAATTAATATAATAATTAACCATTTAATCATTTAATATTCAATATATAGGTGGCCCCAGTGTAGCAGATGTAACTGATTTTGAAAAAGCTCCTTTAGGATTTGGACAAAATTATACAGACCCTAAAAAAGCACCTTCTGTTTGTACAGCCAAAGTAAGTAAAAATCGTATGGTAAGTTATAATAAATATATATATATATATATATATATATTATGTTGTAGTTCTAAATTCAAAATAATACATATATTCTTGTTCTTGACCGTTTATCATGACTGGTTGACTTTTTAGTTGCTTATAGCTAAATTTATTTATTATGAGACGCTTATCTAGAGATTTTTCTGAAGATATAATTATCCTGTGTCTATTAACTGAATTATTAATATACAAATTAATTTTATCAAAATTAATATAATTTTCTTTACAAATTATTGTTTAATTTTGGTTCCTTAGTTTAAGTATAAAATTAAGAATGTTATTAAAATTTGATCCTTTCTACTTTTTTAAATTTTAAATTGAGATTAACTTTTCAAAATAATGTTTTATAAGATATCATACAGACACACATATATAAATGTTTAAGTATAATTATAAAATATATTAAACCTAATATAATTCGTTTTAAATAGATAGATGTAGTTGTTTACTTAAAATAATATTCGGTTAAAATTAATTAATTTTGTATTAACCCAAAATTATATATTAGGTAACTGAAAAAATGATTTTTATCTATTATTGATTCTAAAGTTTTAACTAAATTTAACATTCTTTAGATTTTTCCGGTCCTAAAATAAAACAATATGATTGGTTATTATTAATTATTTATGGACCTCGCGGAAATGAGAATATTTTTGTTAAAATACATTGTTACATTGTTAGAACAAAAACTATTTATATTATATTTTTCAAATCAAGTATCTATCATTTTGCTATTAAGGTTTTAAACCTTGAAAACCAAGGTTAGGTTATCATCATAGTTTGTTTTACTCGAAGTATAATGTTAAACAAATTATATTATGCATAAAAAAATATCAATAACAAAAGATTTATCAATATTTTTTTATCATTATTATTATTTCTCCTGCTGATTGTTGTTTAAATTTAGTGTAAAAATTAAGTGAATTAAAAATTGTTGATTAATTAAAAATATTTCTCTGTATCCTAATTAAAGATTTTAATTTGATGTTTTCATTTATCAATACCCATAGGCGTAAACTGGGTGGAGGAAAATTGCCCCTTTAGAATAAATTAGAAGGGGCAGTGCCCCTTCTGATATTTAACATAAATTGTTTTAAAATAAGTACAAAATAGCTGGTTATAGATATTACTATAACATTTTTTTTTTTTAAATCTTAATTTTAAATTTTTGCTTATTTAATGTAATGTTGAAAAATTAATAATTGTGTATAATAATATGTAGGTAGTAAAGCGGCGTTTATCCTCGAACACTCTTTTCGTTAGATATGTAATTATGTTTTTGTCCCCTCCCCAATAAATTTCCAAGTTATGCCTATATATATTAATACTCATTGGTTTACTAAAATTTAGATTTCTAGATTATATTTATATTTCTAGATTACTCCAGCAGCTGATGGTTTATTAGAATGTCCATTATGTCTAGCGAAATTTGATGAAAATAATTTTGCCAAATTATCAACTTGTAATCATCGTTCCTGTTTTGACTGTTTTCAACAATATTTACGAATAGAAATATGTGAATCCCGTGTGAACATTACCTGCCCAGAGTGTACTGAAGCTATGCATCCAAATGGTATGGTTTTTTTTAAAGTTAATTTTCTATTTTATTAGATATAAAAATTATTTATGTATATATATCAATTTAGATATACAAAGTGTGCTCAATAATCTTGCTCTATATGACAAATATGAAGACTTTATGGTTCGTAGGGTATTAGCAGTTGATCCTGATACTAGATATTGTCCTTCACCTGACTGCAGGTAATATTTTAAAGTTGGTAATTTGTTAATTGGTTAGTATTAAATTTGATAGCAATTCAATTGACAACAATTATTCAACTTTTAATTCAAACAAAAAATGTAATTTTTATTTTTAGTACCTAATTTAAATTTATTTAAATTGTTTTTATAAAAAATTTGGTATTTTCTCAATTGAATTTATACAATTTATAAAAATATCTTAAAGTATGTTGATATTATATACATACTTATGTAGTATAAAACCTTAACTTGAAATAAAAGAAATATTTTTCCTAATATAGTAATAGAATGTTTATTTTTATTTTTTTAGCTATGCTGTCATAGCTGCTGGTTGTGCTAGTTGTCCAAAGATAAAATGTGAACGTCCTGGTTGTGATTCATACTTTTGTTACCATTGTAAAGCTGCGTGGCATCCTAATCAAACCTGTGATTCAGCTAGAGCAAAACGATCATCAAATATGAGAACTTCATCTATTGCTTTTAGTATAGATTCACAATCACGTAATTGATAATGTTTTATTTTTATTTGTGTTAAATTGTAAAATTGAAATATAATTTTAGGGGAAGATATTAAGCCATGTCCTCGTTGCCAGGTTTTAATTGTGAAAATGGATGATGGTTCTTGTAATCATATGACCTGTGCAGTTTGTGGAGCAGAATTTTGTTGGCTGTGCATGAAAGTAGTCAGTGACTTACATTATCTCAGGTTAGCCTTTTGATTAATACATTTATATTTTGTATTTATTATTTTTATATTATTGACTTATTTATGTTAAAATTTTAATTGTAGTCCTTCTGGGTGTACTTTTTGGGGTAAAAAACCATGGTCCAGAAAGAAAAAGCTTTTATGGCAGCTGGGTACATTAATTGGAGCTCCGGCTGGTATTGGTTTAATAGCAGGAATTGCAATACCCGCAATAATAATTGGTAATTTAAATTGATTGATTTACTAAGTATTTAAATTTTAAATATGCGTTTTTATTTTGAAGGTGTACCTGTTTGGACTGGGCGAAAAATGTATACTCGTTATAGACATTCAAGTCGATTAAAACGAAATTTTGCAATTGCTGGTGGTGTATTAGCAGCGGTAAGTGTTTTTAATTTATTGCTTAAGTAGTTAATAATTTTATATATCATCTACATAAATATAATGGTTATAAGAAAAAAATGATTTAAATTTGTTTTATAATAGTTGATTTGAATTAACAAACAAGACTTTTCTTAGATAATTTTACAATTTGTTGTATAAAATTATGAATGACTAAAGCGTAAAATTTGATATAAAATTTGAGTTGTTTGATAGTGGAATATCAACTTCACGTTCATGCATTATGCGATTAGAAGATAAATTATGTTTTTGTGTTTTTGTTCTTGTGTTGTAATTTTATATACATAATATTAATTATATCTAAGCAGCAAACTTTTTAATAGAAAAATTATTAATTTTAATTTTTATAATCAATAAATTAATGTTTATTATTACTATAGTAAGTAAAATCACATAATATGAGTAGTATGGACAGCACCGTTACATTAATTTAGGCAATATAATTTTAACAAGTCAAACATTTAAAGAATTAGTAAAAACTGGTTTCATAAAAAGAAACATATAACATGTTATACAACTGTTTTGAGCTATAGGATCTAATAATTAATATATTACTTTACATACCATGTTATAGGTTGGGCTAACATTTTTAAGGCTTTTAATACTTTAAATACATGAGATGAAATTATATGTTAATATAGCTTTAACAAATTGTCTCTATTATTAATATATTTCATAAATTATCAACACTTAAAAAAAAAACTGATACCTTAACCTCAAGTATTTTCTAAATTTTATAGAACTAACATTAAAAATTAACAGTGAAATAAAATCCTTACAATTAACTAGGTAGTAAATTGTTCTCTATATTGTGTGAAAGCTCTACAATTAATTATTACTCGAGAAAGGAGAAATAAATTATAAATAAATATAAAATAGAATAAATACTATGCTGAAATTTCATTAAGATGTCTATTGAAAATTTCTTCAGCTTGTAGATCAGTCAACAGGTCTAGTAATCTTTGTTCCGTTTCTTCATTGCCTAAAGCAACATCCACTGATCCTATACACAGAAGTACTGCTAACAACTTTGATTCCTTCATATCTTCATCTAAGTCGTATCTGCTGTATTCAAGTTGTCCCTCTATATCTACACCTAATTTATTTGCATGTGTTGTTAAAGCTTCCCAGTAGATGTCCACCAGTTCATTTGAATGATTTCTTCTTGTTTCCGTTGATAAACTACTTACAAGCAAAAGTGCTACGTCGTTGGTTGGTCTACTGTAGGATATCATTTGCCAGTCTAGTATTACACATTGGTCTTGTTCTCCGAACATTAAATTGTTACACCAAAAGTCTGTATGTGTCATCAATCCCATGGGTTCTTTAGGTATCATTAGTGATCCAATAATTTGTTTAGTGAAACGACAAAGTGATCTAAGCGTGTTGATTAACGTATCATATTGAGGCCCTTTAGATCGCAGGAATACGTGTAATTGCGGCATTCCTCGTTCGACCAGTGCTTGGTATGATAATGTGGCACGAGACGTTTGGAATAAGAATGGCCAACGTTCTGTGAGCAGTCCGTGTTTAAGTTTTAATGCAAGGGATGTTGCGTGGATTCGGGCTATAGAGCGAAGAGCGAGTTTGGCTTCTGTATACGTTAGTCCAGTAGAAAAGTTAGCTGCAGTATAGCCACGTTTGGATAAGTTTTCCAGCACAAGCATCGACTCGTCTTTACCGCTTGCACTCATACCAGCAAAGTAACATTTGGCTACTGGCATGTCACCAATTGTTGAATGATAATGCTTTGGCAGCGCATCTTTTTCTAGATTTCTTAATTCAAATAATACCTGCAATCAATTGTATAATATTAGATACATTTATAGGAGTATAAGAGTGATATGAGTGATTTAATCATGTTTTTTATTGATAAATTATGCTTAGAAATAGTACAGCGGTTTAAACATAATTGATACCCTGTATATGTATACTAATCTGTCGAGTTTTATACTAGCAATTAGTTGATGTATTCAAATCTGTATTTTTGTAAAAAAGTAATTCCGTTTTCAAAGTAGTTAACACGAAAAAAAATATGAGTTTAACATTTTAAAATGTATGCGATGTTGATTTAGAAGCATTCATGATGGTTATAAATGCGTTGTCGATAATAAATTAAAATTTTAAGCTAAAAAAAATCGATTACTTGCTCCGATAGAAAAAAAGTATGTTCATTCAATTTTAATGAACAATTATATTTAATACTACCAGCAAGTCGCTGGTATTTCATCGATATTGTTTTTTTTTTTTTACTTTTTTTATTATTAGCTTATATATAAAATATCAAAATAACGTCAATTTCATTGTATTAACAATTTTTTTTGTATTTATTCTAAGCGATACCTGCTAACATTTAGAATTTTCTGACCACCAAAAAAATTATAAATCACAATTAATTTGCTGATGATAATTAATGGGAAATAATATTATTTGCTTTCCTCGAGGGGGGTGTTTCATGCTTTAATTTGCTTCAGGGCCATGGCATGTGGTTTGAATTAAACAATACATTTAAAATACCACGTATTCCATCACGCATCATTTCCTTGACAGGAATCTAGTCAAAATTAACCGCCGTCACCTCATCCTAGCTGTTTCAATGAACGAAAAATAAGTGGTCAAGGTCTATTACACATACATACATACACACACATTTAGGATGGGCGTTAACCGTGACAATTTTTACGGCGTTACACCAAAAAATTTTGTACAATTAATAGTGGTAATCGTTCACGATAAAACGATGTAGTGGTTGGTGAATATTTTCCATATTGTCAATTCTCTTATCGTCTCGTCCTTGCGGCAATCGCCCTTGGACTTGGATAGTAGTGTGTGTGTGTATATGTGTGTTCAAAATACAATAAACAGTTTAGGGATCGGAAAATATATAGAGCTTAATGGGGGGGGGGGGGGCAAAGCTGCTGACAAGAATACGGTAGAACGACAAACTACGTATTTGTGTTCGACATAACTGATGTTGTGGTTATGGCATGTGCATGGTGGTAGGGTTTTCCCGCCCCCCGAAATATCTTCCTTATCCCAAAGTTTCAAAGTTGATATTTTTTTTTGGGCCAATTTTTTTCATCGATCTACTACTAGGACCCCCTAACCGAACTAAGATTCTGCGTACGTCTTGTGTGTGTGTGTGTGTGGGGAGAGGATGTGTGCTCCCTACCTGTGTACGCGTGCGTGGTGCAGTTGCAGTGCAGTGCTAGGTGATCTTTTGCTAAACGCAGGGCATGCAATGTATACGATAATGGTCGGTCGAACGATAACGATATTAGGAGGGAGACCCACCGTGTTGTAAAAGTGCACTTCTCTGTAGTCGAACTGAGCCTCGAGCACGAACGCCCGGGAATAGGGCTCTTGCGGCAGGCTCTTGATGACCACGTCCAGCGAGTCGGTGCCTGCGACGCCTTCCACCGCGTACACAATGTGCACGGCCACTATGGAGCTTAGCACGTTGTGCGGGTCGGACACGGCGGGCGTGGCGAACGTGCGGTCGCTGATCACCGTTACCGCGTCGCGTGGCTGGTCGATCAACCGGCTGATGACGCCCGACAGCCAATCCGGGTCGGCGGGCAGCGGCTGCATTTGCTGCTGCTCGTCATCGTCTGGTCCGCCGGCGGCCGCTGCTGCTGGCGACGACATGCTTTTGTTGCTGCTGCTGCTGCTTACCGTGTTTTCTTGGACACACCGATCGCGCACACTACTGATCAATGTCGTACACGTACGATGCGTGCGACGTCCAGCCACCGTGTGCACGGCGTACAACACAATTTTACACAACAACACTGGTGGCCGCTCGCGCGTTACGGCGGCGGCTGCGGGCGTGTGTGTGCGCGTACAAGTCGACGACCCGCATCCCCTTGTCTTTCCCCCGTATCCTAGTGTTGGCCGCTGCCGACCGCGCCCCCCCGCGGACGCGACAACGAGGAAACGTATACAGATCGCAAACTCTCCCCGCCGCCGCCGCCGTCACTGTTTCCTACCCGCTGCCCCCGCTATTACGTAATCTCCTTCTGTCCTTCCTCCTCCTCTTCTCTCTCTCGCTTGCTCTCCTGGTTGCCATGCGTCCTGTGCGCCCGAGTGCTGCTGCTTCGCCGTGTACGTCATCCGTGCGACCCATCAATACCGTGGAGCTGGTGTTCTGTGATGTAATTCGGGAGGAGACTAAAACGTACACGCAAGAATAATAATACGTATTATTATTTCGTTTTATACATCTTGAGTGTGCACCATCCTCCTCTTCCCAATCTTGCCATCCACACCGGTGATTTTACGCCGGAATGCGTTAACGTTTCATTGTTATCGTGTTTTCGTTAGCCTTATAAAAGAACGAAATAAAATATTTTTCATGAGAACGACAATATGTTATATGTAGCAATAAAAATCTGATAGATCTCACGGTCGGGTGTAATATTATTTATATTATTCTTTATTGCTGCTGTTGTCGTACTCTATAAAATTAAGTAATACAATTTATTTATCTTACATGATATAAACGTTGTATTATATATTACGTATATATTTATGCTCCCTAAATCTCAGATTATTATAATTATATATTCACACGTATCGCATTTTGTGATCCGATAATTTTCATTACCAAATTTAATAATATATAGATTTACACACAAATTAACTGCCCCCCCTATCAAACATTCATATCCGAGCACTTTCCACATTTTTGTTGAACTTATAAAATATTTTTAAAATTAATTTTAGTTATTGTTTAAAAAAATGTTTTATATAATGTTTAAAATAAATTATTAGTTCACAAGAAATTATTATGATAATTTTTTCTAAGATTTGATTTATAAAGCCGCCCTTGTTTTTTTTGCTGCTTAGTACTGCCCTGTTAATGACAAATGTTCCTTCATCCATTTTTTTATAGTATTTTATGTAAAAAACATAGATTACGAATATTTGTGTACTCTATGTTTAATAGAATTGACAGAATCCAATGAAATAATTAAATTACATATTGTTAATTGATTAAGGTCAAAAAATCCGCTTTGCACGGTTTACTATAGATCAGTCATATGCTAGTGGTTAAATCTATGTTAATTTATGTTTGTTTTTGTCTTAATTTGTGTTTTTCACCGCATATGTTTATTTTGAAATATGTTACAAGGTTAGATTTGACTTACATTATATACATGTAGTCTATCTACTTATTATTTCGCATATTTCTGAAGGTTTTCGTATGACCAAAAACTTACCAATTTTTTATCATGTTATATTTTTCTTCTCAATCAGAATAATGAAAAAAAAAAATGTTCATTAATTGATTATCTAAAATAAAATATTAAAATCAATATTCAGTGGTTAAAATTAGAAAGAGGCTTTTCTAATTTATATTTTAAGTTATACTAAAACTAAACTAAACTAAAAATATTCACAGTGAAACCTATCCAAAATGTATTCTGTTTATTTGTTAGCCAGAAACCGGTCTAAAATGGAAATGGTCAATATTTCAATCCTTGATAAAATAATTGTTTAATATAATTTTCTACACTTATAAGTTTAAAATGTGTTTCAATGTTTAAATAATGAAAAATAACAAATTTTGTTTCCTTTATAGTTGATTGCTGCTCCAGTAATGGCCAGTTTAGCTGTTGGTATTGGAGTGCCAATATTATTATTCTATGTTTACGGTGTAGTTCCAGTATCACTGTGTCGCTCAGGTGGCTGTGGAGTTACCACGTCCTATAATGGAGTGCATTTTGATTTTGATGAAGAGCACAGTGCCCCTAAAACTGTTAATGTTGATTTCTTCACTGCAAATGGTTATTAAAAACATATAATATATATATTACTTAGATTTAAATAAATTGGATTTTGTATGTAGATGGTGATGCAGCTAGTCATGGTGCTGAAATTGGCAACCCATCTATTGAAGAACCATCTTTTTGGAATGATTGGGATGGCGAAACAGCTTTGGGACGAGATGCTGATCGAGAATCAGCGAGTACAGTTGCATTAGCTGGCAGTTTATTAGCTCAAAAGTATTTATTTTCTATTTGAATTAAACAAAAAAAAAATTCTTAACAATTCAGTTATTTAAAGTTATAACTTAAATAGCTATTTGCAAAAATAAAAAAATTATTATATGAATATTTTTTTTGCATACAGTTAATTAGTTTTATTATATGATCGAAATCATAATACATAGATTATTCTTATAGATTCAGAAATCATCTAAAAACATATTAGGTGTTATCAACACTATATGCATTGTATAGTTTTAGATATGTTAAGATTTATAATGAAATATATTTTTTTTTACATATTTTTTTTTTTTTTTGATGATTTCAGGCTAAACTAATAAGTTTAAATATATTTTTGGTTTTTAAATCTAAATTTTTAATCAAAAATATTCTTATAATTTAAACTTCATTATTTATTTTGTAAAAGAGTTGACAATAGTGAGACAGCATCAATGCGTTCAAGCCAAAAAACTACCGATGTGAACGATGAGACACAGTCCCAGTCACAACAGCCTCTCAATTTGTCACTTAGTTCATTAGAAGAATTGACTGCTGGTCTAATGCGAAGGGTATTGGGAAATGGTGATGAGACCGATACTCCAGCAACTACTAGGTCACGTGCCACTACTACCGAGGTGCACTTTGGCAATACCGTCAGCATTATAACTCCTCCAGTTATGGACTCCCATCAAAACTTTGTACCATTCAGGTATATGTTTCTCTGATGTACTTATATGTCAAACAAAATATCATTTTTGATGTATGAATATCATTTTGGATTGCACATGAGTTCTATTTGTATACTATTAATAACTATATTACTATAAACATTTTATTTTCAGAGGTTTTGTACGAAATTTGCTGTGTAGGACATCAAATGAAATGCCAGCCAGTTCATCATAGTTATTTTATTAAATAGTATAAAATTAAATACCATGTACAGAGCTATAATAATTATGTGTATTATGCTCTCACTTAAGCAACTGGTCTTTCTATTTTCTTTGATATTTTCATTTAACTTAATTTTTTGTGTTTTTAAAATTAGCTTATATATATTTTTATTTATTTAAATAAATATTAATTTATATAACTAATTTTTCCTTTAAAGCGACTGTGATCACTGGGGTTTATATTACTATAAATATTTTTTTTTTGTCATTTTTACAATTAATTGATTTTGTAATTTCATCAAATAAATAATTTTATAAATTATTTGAGTATGAAAATGCATAAATTTTGTGAAGGACAAAAATAGGAAGAGTTAACAATTTCAGTAACCATTTATCTGTTTTAAGATTTATAATTGCGTAAACGCTATTAAATAATGTTAGAAATTTAAATATTGATAATTGTGTTATTTTCTTGCCCCAGATTTATGTTTTAAAAATTACTTTTTTTTTTTAATTCTAAGTAACCTTTTTGTAATGATATAAGAATGAACCTCATTCCTAAATAACTAGCAAATATTTGTGTATCTAGATATAAAATACTCGCAGTTGGAACTATAAACTGCCAAAATAATAATATTATTAATAATAAATAATAAAATATTATGCTTGCTCAGTTAATTTTTTATATTCCTATTACCTGGATATTATAATCTGTTTGAAAAACTAGAATAGTCATTAAAACATGCACAATATTAGTGTGTATAATTGTTAATATGTTAGCCTAGGGAAAATTTAAATTGTATTTGTTAGTGATATATTCTTGAACATAAAAATAAACAACCAACACTCCATATAAAATTGTCCTCTTTAGAATATTTACATTGCTGAAATTTTCACTATACTTAGAGCTATTTCATTTTTCTTTTTCCACCAGCTATGATTATGGCCTCATTTTAAGTGACTCCATGAATGTAATTACCTCAATATCCAACAAATTCATAAAATGCAATCTTGTTTGAAGTATTCAAAATTCAATACATCTAACAAAACGATCAGTCTCATGTGGATACCAACTTATACTTGGAAAATAACTTGCCAGTGAAAGTGGCAAGATCTTCTAATATCACAATACATCTATTTGTAACATGATAATATAGTAAATGTTCTTAAAAACAGATTTCACTTCCTATGGTAATCCCAGAAAGAAAAAAAAATTAAATAATAAAATAAAACACAAAAACTGTCAACTAGTAAATGGCCAGATTAAGTAATTAAACTTACAGTGTACAAGGAGCTTATGGTCCACCACAATATACAATGAACATTCATACTTAATGAGTAAGCAGTGGCGTCATTTGATGGGAGGGGGTAGGGTAGACATTAGTGGGCTGGTTATGGGCTATGAGTTATATTATGAACCATTCTTCTATTTTCAATTAGTATTTTACTAATATAGTATTTTATTTATGTAATTTTTAATGAGCGGTATTTTTTTAAAAAAATTTTTAGTTATATTATAGGACAGCCAAAACTTTTTCAAAACCCCCTCTCAAAACTGAAATGATGCCTCTATAAGTAAGGAACCCGAACCCAATTGTGAAACATGTCTCTGTGTACTCTCTATGAGACACATATGTTAAGAATGTCCCACCAACCAGCTTGTTTGAATTTAATCAAATATAAACATCACATCATCCAAAGAAGCTTTCAGATCCGGAAAAGAAAGAAAAATTATAGATTTTTTACCGTAAAAATTTAGATCACATTTCAAAGATACTATAAAACACTTAAAATAAATTATACATTACAAAAATCTTTTATAATGTAACAATTTTTATGAAAACTATTATAGGCTAATGAATGTTCTATTTAAAGTAATTAAAAAAAAAAAACTTGGTAGGTAGGTAATCTTATAAATATATAGTTACTAATATAGGTAGCTAATGGTTCCATATAATATAACATTATGTAATTTTTATAATAACATATAGGTATTAATTATAGTAATGTATTGTTTAATATTTTTTCAATTTGTAAAATATTTTATACATATCAATAAAACATCAAAATAACACAAGTTACAATTTTACTTTGATTGTTAAAGTATATAATTTATGTATCATAGTGATCATATAAAATTAATAATAACAATCTTCTTCGAAATGCATCAATATTTTTAAATTCTTCGGAATGTAACTTCAGAAGTTTAAACATTGACTGTTAATTCCTGTTTGATACGAGAAGTAATATGAGTGACCTTGTTTTATTGTTGACCATAACTTCGTTTTCATGTGAGTCAATTTCGAAAAATTGTTGTCAATTTGTCGCAAGAATGACCTAAAATATTTAGGGTACGCCTTGGCTACTACATATATTTATAGCATACTGTGAGTAAACACAAGGAAGTCACTTTCCAAGGCTTTGAAAGTAATACAATATCTAATAAGTATTCGTCCGTATGAATTACGTTATTCAATTTATTTGATACCCCTGTTGTATACAAGAGTTTTATTAATTATTAATATCTATGTTATTAATAATATATTATGAACAAAACATAATAAAACACCGAATTTTTATAACAATTAGTAGGTAAGTTAAATAATAATTACAGATTAGATTTTTCAAAGTGTAATTTTCAAAACTTGTTTTTTTGGCAAGATAGGTACGTGACCACGTGACTGGCGAGCTAGTCAAGCCATTGAAATTGATATCAACCATGGATCCGCAGAGACTAAATCCTACACATTTGCATTAAACAGTATTAACTGTACGAAGCGAACATTTTTTTGTATATTTGATGAGGCACCGTAGTTCTTGATAAATTTGGCCTCATATGTGATATATATTATTTAAAAAACGATGGCGGCATCCTCTTTCTCTGACGTAGTTCCAGCGGAAAATACCGAGGAGAGTGGTTGAGTATTGCTGGTTCAAAAAAAAAAAAAAAAAAATGGTTAAGATAGTAGCGGAGGAGTCGTCCCCATCAACAAGCTGATCACTTCATTTTTGATGCGGACAAAATGCTATGTGGATCGTATGATTAAAATTAAAAATTATTACCATTCTATTTTCAAAAATTGAATCTTATGCACAACTTCACTCGAATATATAAAATATATTTAGCTAGACATCAAGCGTTTAGCACGATTCTTAAGTATAGACTCTATAATTCTTAATTTAAATTAAATTAAGCTGTTCATTCAGTGATTGATAAATGAAATAAATCAATATTATACATAGAATTACCAAATTACCTGAGTTTATTACCAGGAGAATACATTTTGTATATATTAGAAGCAATTAAAGAATATAAGAAGGTTTTATTTCTGGAATTAAAATGATTAATTATAAAATTTAAGTGTTGAGTAAGGACAAGAAAAATATTATCACACCATTAATTTTGGAACGAACATTTCAGCATATAAACATATTTTTATCAACAAAAAACTTTTTGGGGTCACTATATTTCCAATAGTCGAAAAAAATCTCTCGGAGTTCATCGATGTGGCAGGAATAGCCAGATACTGTTTTATTTACGCTGCAACTTTTCTTGAAAATGAATTACTACTTTCAAGTTCCATGAATACATAATTAATCGACACCATATTTCTAGGAAATTATATTATAGTTACTTTTAATAATAAATAATTTATATTTTACGATTCGTTATTTTTCAGTCTTATACTTTACGAGTATATAATTGTTCATACAGACCTACTTTCAGTTAGGCTTAGATAAAAGTTTGAGGGGACTATTGGAACTGAAGCCCCCTCCCCCTTAAAAATCAGGTAAAACCATGTCGGACGTCGGTATTTAAAATGTTTAAAAAATTAGAAGTAAGAAAAACTTCGTACAAATCGACATGCACTAGGAATTATGGCAGTAACTCACTTTACTAGCTCCCCTTTTTTTCATTTCTAGATCCGCCCCTGTCAGTATGTGTATATTTATATGTACGGTAACTTATGTAATACATGTGCACGAGGTAAGTTATTGTTTATTACCCATTTCAAACATAATTCTCATCTCTTGTCTAAAAATATTTTTTTATCTCTTACCATTAAAATCTACTGCGTAACAAATCAGAACATGCTGCTGTCCGATTGGCTATACTCGATAAACTCGATCTCAGCTTATCACAACCACAGATATATATATATTTGTGTTCACAACATGTTCACAGTAAGTTTACCATCCATGGCATGAACATCATAGAGTATTTTAGAGGCGATTACATTATCATTAACGTGTCTTGGAAGAAGGGCCAGTCCAGTCCGGATAGGTGGGATACTAAGTTTCCCGGTTGGCCACTTGTTTGAATGGTATTGCAGTAAAAACTGTTTAAAATCAAATAAATGGCATTTTAATTTTTATTAATAATATTAAGTGTTCAAATAAATTCTGAAAATAATATACAATTATTTTATATGAAAATATACATTTTTTTAGGGTTGTTTTTATACCTTTGGTTTATCGAATTGGGCCGTCCCCCCCATCAGATTCATCACCATTGGTCACGGTGATCAGTTTATTGCAGAAGAAAAAACAGCAATCCGTTTGAGGATTCTGAAGAGTTTACTAAGTAATAAGGGGTCTGAAATTCCACTTAGGTCACGCGTTTAGGTAGTCAAATATTTTATACGCTTATACGCTTATATATAATTCTGGTAATTTTAACCGTATGACCGTATATTTGAATGTCTGTTACAGCTACTGCTTATCTAGGTACTTAAATCACAGAATAGATTTGTATAGAATATTGAATAGAATCTTTAATATATTCTGTGCTTATATTTTTCTTGAAATTACAATGTTCTATAATACGTATTTATGAGATAATGTAAAAGAACCTTCCCCCCTCCCCCCGAAAAAATTAAAAAATCGTCAATGCACTTTTTAGAAAAAAGTAATTTTTTTGATCATCATGTACGGAAAATATTTCAAGTTCAAGCGCTGCCTGACACAGTTCAGTGTGGCACATTAATGCGCACGCTTTTTGTTAGGTTATGTACGAAAACATGTTATCATTCGCCAATTCAGATAACACACACTAGCTGTAGAACTTATTGACGTTTGGTTTTGTTTGTTTAAATATAATTGTTTATCCATATCGTTTTTGATTTATTAATTGCTATTAATTTCTAATAAAAAAAATTGATTTTAAGAACTACCATTTACGACATTTACGTTCCATAGACGCTAACCACACGGTCAAAACAATTGCGTAAGTTCAACTTAAAGTCACTTCCGTTAGTTTTCTTCTTATTACCTGATTATTTTTATAATTCTTCTTTAACAGCAATTTTTTCCTACTATATGAAAACAATTTTAAATATTTTAAAGATCAATTATCGTAAAAAATCTATACGTAATTAGTTGCGGGAACTATACTTTAAATACTTTTCGCTTATTTCAACTGAATTATAGTACATGATAGTATATCCATTATGTATTATTTTTTGAAATACGTGAAGAAAGCGAGTGATTAGTATTTTCCAAATACTAATATTTTTACCTTTAATGAAAGTTTACTGTTAAATTCAATGTCATAATTCATGTTTAGGCAGTTGGTTTGATACATATGATACCTATATATGAGAAATACAACAATAATATTGAGTAATATTTCAACTAATTACTTTTTAGTTTTCTGCAATTATAGTTATTAATTATTCTATTATTTATTTATAGATATCCTTATTCAATTTAGTGTACAATATTTGATAAATATACCTATTTTTAAAATAATTAATTGAATGTACTGGGTATTTAGTTGTTGATATTTTATATATGAATACCAACAATTTATACATTTAGTTGCATGTAAAATTTAATAACAATAGTGTGTTTAGTTATTTAATGTTCGTAATTGCAATGATATAATCGTTACATACTATAAGTCTAAAAATTATTATCTGTATAATCTGTATAATAATTTGAAAATATGTTTTTTAAATAGATATCAAATATAATCCAAAAATTGTCCATAGTTTATTATTAATAATACAAATATTATTTTATATCATATTTTATTCTTACACAAATATGTATCTTATAATATATTTAAATTTAGCTTTTGGATAATAATTATTAATTTTACAATCCAGCAATATGAATTTATATAAATTATTTATTTAAGTACCATATTTTAGTTTTGGTTTTATGATTTGCTATTTCTTTTCATGTTAATGTTATCATTACACTTACATAAATTTCATAAAAATTTTAAATTTTTGATTAGTATTAAATTAATTTTATTAATAGCAACAAAAGTTAAAATTAAAAAGTAAGACATAGCTTGATATAGTTGTAGTATAGTTGGTGGAGTAATTTTTATATTGAGCATTGAAGTACTCAAAGGTTCAAAATATTAATTATTGTTTTAAATTTAAATTTAATCTCATTTAAAAGTTAAAACTAAAAGTTGTATTTGAATTGTTAAGGTTACAACTTGTACTTCAATTTCAATAACATAATATTTACCATATTTATATACCCTATAGAATATATTACTTAAAATTGTCACCTAACCTATCACTTAGACCATACAATTAGACATACTACCTAAATATAATCTTTTTGGTAAAGTTTCTTTAAAATATCATTTTATCAGATTATATTTATTTTCCCCTTTTGTCTTTTGTAATATCTTATGTAACATGTTTAATATTTCATGCTTCTACAATTTTGAATCTCTAGTTGTAAGTTTATTTGGCCATTATAATTGACTATTTCTTAGTTTCATGCATGTTTAATATCTTAATTTAATTAAATTAATTTTCTCAAATAACATATTCAAAAAGTATTGATAAAATAATTAAAATAAAATAATTTTACCACTGGTCCAATATAAATAAAGTGTTTAATTTCACGTTTTAACTGTTAACTACACCATTCAGTGATTTTTTTTGTGTTTTGTGAATTTTATAGGTTCTTATCGTGATTCTATTATATCAACTACACAACTACTATATTTATCTATCATCTGAATATCTTTCAAAATTAAAATCATGTCAATGTCAAAGTATCATCCATTTTCTTCATTCCTGTGTACACAACAGAAAAATTCTATGATACGGATGATTTCAACATGGTGGTCTAATGTACAGCAAGGACCTCCAGATGCCATACTTGGTGTAACAGAAGCTTTCAAACGTGATAAAAATCCAAATAAAATTAATTTGGGAGTTGGTGCTTACAGAGATGACAATGGTAAACCTTATGTTTTACCTAGTGTAATAGAAGCAGAAAATCAACTGAGAAATAAATATTTGGATAAAGAATATGCTCCAATAAGTGGCATTTCTGATTTCTGTAATTCAGCTATATCATTAGCATTATCTAATGAATCACCTATTATTAAAGATAAATGCTATGCTTCTATTCAATCTATATCTGGAACAGGTGCTTTAAGAATTGGTGCTGAATTCCTGCAAAGATATGCGCCATTGAAAACAATTTGGGTACCTATTCCTACCTGGGGTAATCATAATCAGATATTTAAGTTTTCTGGATTGGAAGTAAAAACTTACAGATATTATGATCCAAAAACTTGTGGACTTGATTTTGCTGGAATGGTTGAAGATTTATCTTCAGCTCCTTCTGGATCAGTAATTTTACTACATGCTTGTGCTCATAATCCAACAGGTGTTGATCCAAAACCAGAACAATGGAAAGAATTATCGGCATTGTTTAAAAATAAAAATTTATTTCCATTTTTTGATATGGCATATCAGGGATTTGCTTCTGGAAATGTTGATCGTGATGCAAGTGCTGTTCGTTCATTTTTATCTGATGGCCACCAGATTGCTTTAGCTCAGTCATTTGCCAAAAATATGGGCTTATACGGAGAACGAATAGGATTATTTACCTTGACAACCTTAGATAAAGATGAAGCAGATCGTATAATGTCACAATTAAAAATAATTATACGTGGAATGTACTCAAATCCACCAATAAATGGAGCTAGGATTGTGTCTGAAATATTATCTCAACCTAAACTTAATAATCAGTGGTTAGTTGAAGTAAAAGGTATGGCAGATAGAATAATATCAATCAGAAACCAATTAAAAAACCTTTTAGCCAAAGAAGGCTCTACACAAAATTGGGAGCATATAACTAACCAAATTGGTATGTTTTGTTACACTGGACTCAGCAAAGATCAGGTTAAGTCATTAATTGAAGAGCATAGTGTATACTTAACAAATGATGGCCGTATATCAATGGCGGGCGTTACCACCAAAAATGTTGGTTACTTGGCTAGTGCAATACATAAAGTTACAAGTGCTTGATAGAGTACACTAAAGAAAATAATTAGACACTTATAATGTAATAAAATGGTGTTACTTAATAATAAATAAAAAAATAAAATTATTATTATTATTATTATTATTATTATTATTATTATCAGTCATTTTGTAATCCTAATTTTTTTTATTTCTGTATAACCTCATTTCATATTTTTAAGATTGTTTCATTTTTCCTACTTCTATATTTACATTTTACATTTTTTTAGTTTAAAATTTGAAAAAATATTATACATCCAATAATTTTTATTGTATTAAGTTAACACAATATAAAAATAAAAATTAAATTATTTATTATTTTAGAACGGTTTTTTTTTATGGGAGGTGCTAAATGTTTGGAAACTAAATTGATTGAAACTTTAAAAGTATGGAATATAAAATTAAAGAATGCCAAGGTTTATGAAAATATTTTTTTGGAAATTAAAAATATAATTGAATGGAAAAAAGATTTGTTAGAAAATAATTGATAGGAAAATAAATTATTGGAAACCTAAAAGTCAATGAAAATGATCATTGTACTTTAAATTGAAGGGCGTATATATGGGCAATTGGGCATTTTCGCTCCCCCATTGCTGTTTTTTTCTATATAACAGAATAATATGTAATCAACGGTAAATTATTTTTAAGTTTATATGGAAGAAAAATTAGTGCCCCCCATGATCACAACTCAGATACGCCCTTGCTTAGATCCCTTATGCCTACCTTAAGCAGTAGCGGATCTACACACGGGGTAACTAGAGTACTTTGATAGAGTTTATCAAGGCACTCTAGGGGCAACCATATGAAAATGCCTTTAACATGTCGAATGCGTATAATGCACCTGCATCCACACAACCACCTCCAAGATCCTAGAGAGGTCTCTCCTCAATGTGAACTATTTCCACCCCCAAGGGTGTATGGAGGTCGACCTCAATTGAGAGGTCCATATAACCATATAGGACATAAGGACCTCGAGTTTAGAGACTATAGTTGGCTGGCGTAGGGAGCGACTTGTCAGTTGTCATACTTTAACACAATAATAATTGTATATAGACTTGAAATTAAATTAAAATTTATTAACTTTATTACATAGTCTTTTGTTCAATTTGAAAAAAAAAAAATCAATCTGATAAAAAATTTAATTCTAGTATTTTTAGTTTTCTAATATATTGGATTTCCGCACTTTTAGCATTCCATATTTTATCCATCCACAATTTTAGGTTTCTACGGTATTAGCTTTCCCTGTCTTTAGCGTTCTTGAATTTTAAGATTCATCCATTAATATTTTTTAACCAATTATTTTCCATAAGATTAGTAATCCAATTTTTATTTTTTCTTACTTTTATTTACTATGAAATTATTTTCAATCAAATATTTTTCCAGTTATTTATTTTCGGAACTTTTTTTTCAGTGAAAATATTTTTCAACACCATATGCTCCCTTTTTTATCATTGTTTTTATTCCATGTTTTGTTGAGTTTACATTGTTTGGTGTATCTTAAAAATGTTCAAAAAACTATTTACTTATCTATATAATCTTCAATTTGTAAGTTTTTGAAAAAAATACCAACTAATTAAATTAGTTTACTTAAATTGAATTATGATTTTTACTTAAAGTTGTATGCTTTTTCTGCTATAAAATTAAAACTAGTTAAATATTAATTTCAAGTTAATTACATTTTGAAACAATTAAGGAACTAGAAAATTTCAGTTTCAAGGCATGAGGTCCATAGCCTTTAAAAATGTAATCAGAATTTGTAATTCTAAAAATACATTGAGCTACTAGAATACTGGAGATATTTCTAGTGAGTTATTTTTTTTTTTTAATTTTTCCAAATGAAAAATAAATGAATAGACTTCTTTTAGTTATTTTAGAACCATATCAAAAAATTAAGATGAGTAATTATTGGGTTAAACATGAGAAAAACAAAATTGAGAACAGTTAAACAATTAATAAATATTTTAGTTAATTTTTAATAAGTATGTCACATCACTCTTACTCTTATATTATTGTAGTTGATTTATAAATACTAAATAGGTATATTGTTTATCTAGAATATTATTGAATATTCTTTGAAAAACATTTTTTTATGCAATGAAAACTTATAGAATTCGAAAAATAATTTTTATTTTATTATCTGCCATTATAATGGATCATGAAGAAGATTGAATATTAAGTTTTTATTGAATTATTTAAATTCTATTATGAGTTATTTAGGCATTTGATAAGAGATTTATAATTTTTATAAATTATTTATTATTATTTTATTATTATTTATTATTATTTTTTATTTTTTGCTATTACATTTTTTATAAAATTAAAATGTATTTATTCAAAAAAACTAAAAATGTTTGATTGATTATAAAGTATTAATGTAATGATTAAATAAAGATCTATGAAAATGGAAATAAAAGGTTAGTTATACATTTATTTTTATTTTTGTCTGTATATTCACATTATAGTAGATAATTATACATTATACATGTGGCATCAGCACCATTTAAGTAGGTATCATAATATATCATTAATATGTAGTATAAATATTTGAATTATACTATGTAATATGAGGTACTTAGTATAAGATAATGATTTTGGTTGTACATATTGTGTGGACTGTGGGTGGTATAGAATTGAGGGTTGAATATAATCAATCCAATTTTAATGATGTTCGATGTGGTTAAATAAAAAAATAAATATTTATTTAGCCTAGTTTTTTCATATTGTCTAAGTCATTGTGTGCAGACAAAAATGACCTATCTGTTTGGGGTCACTTAATATTCAAAGTGTTACTTAAACAAACATATTGATGAACTATAACTTCGATAATGAATTACAGTTAATAAATCAAGCTAAATTAATATTTAAAAATAGTATATAGATATTTTTTCAGTACATATTATATTTTTATACTTTCATTATTCTCGATTTTTTAGCATCTTCTTAATCTTTTTAAGACTGAATTTTTGTTTGAGTATGTATTTAGTATTTAATGGAAAGAAAGGAAAATGTGATTACTATTTTTTAATTTTAAGTTTAATAAGAGAGTAAATAATATTTTTTAAATTGAGCATTCATAGTTTTGTACTATTAAATATTGATTAAAATTAGATTAAAAATTAATGTACTACAAAGTTAAATTATAAGTACAACAAATTGGTTGATTTTTGTGGCTATATATACAAAATAAGAAATGCTAAAAATGGTTTTGTTTTAATTTGTATAAAAATAAACCGATAATAAATTAAATAAATTCTTAAATAAATTAAATCAATTACTAAAATATTTTTTTTTTCGTTAATTTACTTTCGGATTTTTTGACTTTTGGCGTCGTTGAGTACTTAATATTTACTTGTCCAATACATAACATTCAACATTTCATAGTTGCGGTTATTTTAAGCATATTTTTTTAAACATATTATGTGAGGTGGATTTTAGAAAAGCTGAATAATTAAGGAAAAGATTTAATAAATATTAAAATAATTTATTAAAACCCTACGAGACTTACCCTTAAATTGCTATTGTTAAAATATCATCATATATCAAATATATATATAATTACTAGTACATATATTAATATTAGTAAATATATGAGTATTAATTATTAAAGCTCATACAGATCACATGACTCAAAAAGTAAGAAATATGTTGTTTTATTTCTTAGACCATTCAAGAAGATGCCTTATTGTCCTATTGCTCTTAATAAGTAAAATTAGGCGTGTTGCAATATTTTAAATTATACCTTCTTGATTTTTAAAATGTACCAGACACATTTTCTTACATTTGCTAATTGTTATTAAAAATGATAATAATTTATTAAAATCATACTCGTATAAGATTTTAAAATTTTAAAACGCATGTAGGCATAGAAGAGTAATAATTTTTTTTAAAAAAATTGTGGGATGCAATAAATTGTGAAAAATAATTGTAAGTTAAAATTATTTAAGTTAAGTAATATAGCATAAATCAATCTTTTTTATATTTCATATTAGTCAAAATAAATAAGTAGATATCATTATTCATAATTTCCTTTTAGTTTCAATAGTAAAATTGAATTATGTTCTGAATGTATTGATTCTAAGATGCCTACCGCATGACACGCATATTTTAATATTTAATTTTCATGTACCACATTTCCCGTTTCTAATTATACAGCTGATCACAATATAACCACGTCCTTTAAATATGGGCTTTATAATATTTCTAATGAAAATAATTTTTTTCGAATAACACTATTGTATAAGTGTGTAGGTGTTTTGATTTATTACACAGATTAAAATTTATGAAACGTCAGGTCCATGTTTCAACTTCTATTATACAAAGTCATCTGCTACGTCATTATAATATAATGTAGAGCAATAAGTATAACAATAATTTAACAACGATGTTTTGAAAAAATTTAATAGCATCTTCAATCTATAATCATAAAAGGAAAAGAATGTAGCAGAACATTTTTGTGTTTTAGTTTTTCTTCGTCATGTTATTTGAAGCGTATCACTTAATTTGAAAAACAAACGTATGGAGTTAAATGCAATCAAATTTTTGCAATTTATAAAATTATTTTTAATTTTTGATTCTTTTGTGTATTGATAAAGCGTTAAATTACCGTTAATTTGTGATATGTATTTATTTCATATTATATAATTTATTTTAATTATACCGATTATCGAAAAGAATAAATTAGAAAAATGATGTACAAATATAATAGTTATGTGTTTATATGTTTTATGTTATGTTTTTATGTTTTATTTTGTTATGTGTTAATGTTCTTTCCATTGTATTGGTACGGTTACTATATTTTATATATACTTACACTAATTTCTCAGGTTCTCTTTGCACTTATGAATCAATCCTTATTCCATGATGAAGTATATCCAATCTTCACTTTAATGGATAATAATATATTTTATTACTTAAATTGAAATCCATTAATTATAAGACTATGTTTAGAGATAATAATAATGATTTGAATTATTTTCGTAAGTGCAGTATATCATTAACTTATTTATTACTTCGTTGTTTGTTCGCTAGTTCTAAAAGCATATATGTAATATTTATTGTTTCTACCAATTTTACCGGTAAACAACCATT